ACGTTTGTAGCTTATGCACCCGTAAACTCTCAAGAAGAAAATTTGCTGGCCCATGGCATTCCTCAAAATAATAGAGGATAATGGGCACCGGTGTTGTGTTCGATGTTCAAAAACCGTCGTTAGAAAAGCGTGCAATCGCCGGGAGTCGAACCCGGGTCTTCCGCTTGGAAGGCGGAAATCTTAGCCGTTGGACCACGATTGCTGTTGATGGAATTTAATTTGGTCTTATACACGTTTAAGTGGTTTATAGAAGAATTACTTGAATATCAAATTCGTTTTTTTTTTTTTTTTTTAATGGTTTTTCGGCGTTTCTTGATATTGGGTTTTGGGGAATGGTTTCATTACCTTGCCGTAAAGTTTTATGGATGAGCAATCCGGGTTATATATTATTTTAGCAAATTCGTCTGCACAGCATCTTTTCCCAGATTCCATATTGGTATCATGTATTGGGTGTTATGATGCAGAAATGTGGCATCTGATGGTGGCGGATGCGTCTTGAAACAATTGAACCTTTCGTACTTCTAGAAGTTAGGTAAATCAAAAATAATTTTACAACCTTTTATTTCCCATCACCCAGGGTTAATCGAGAGGTGAGGGATGCATTTTGCTCCCAAGGTACGGGTTAAGAAAGAAGATTCTTCACGTTTACCCAGCGGCGCCGATAACCTCTCAGCCATTCCGATGTCAGATGCGATGTTTCTCTCTATATTTCTTTCTGGCTTCTAATACCCCAAAGTCTCTGCAAAGTTGTTTATTTTTTTTCTTGGAAATTAGGCCGGTTAGCCTTCTACTATGGAAATGGGGTCCGGGAGAACTATGATATTTAAGTAGCTACCAAATCAAAATCTCCAAAAGCCACATCGAAAAAAAATAATGCGTTCTTTGACCAATTGGGGGGGGGTGGCGTGCCAACCAATTGATCGCAAGAAATTCTTTAGGGAGTGCTACATCTGGTGTTGAGGTGTCTTATCTGCCTGCGAATTGTATCCGTTCTCTAATGTTTGCATCTTGGTAGTCATTATCGACACGCCGTGGCGCAACTATGTCAGTGGTTCTGGGTTGACGCCTGCGCCTTTTAACCGAGGTCCACCTTTGCAGAGCAGCCCTTTTAAATGGATGTAAGCGTAGCATTTGGGTTTTAGGGGAGGGAAGGTGGACTGATGAATTTGCAACTTTTAGTGCAGACTCCTAGTGGGTTTTTTTCGTTCGCAAGCCCAACTCCATTCATAGGCATCTGTTCTGTCTTTATTCCAAACCTTTATTGTATGGGAATGGAAAACGCTGCCCATGTGGTTTAGGTTAGAAATCCCTTTCTGTTAGAACTTAGAAAGAGGAAAAGCAGAATCCTGAGTGGGAGAGATATATTTTTCACCCTTCAACTAAAAAACAATCTCTTCTTTATCAAATTTCTCAGAAGGTACAAGGAGATTTACCTGTATTATTCTCTCTTTCTTTCATTTTGGAAACTGCAAAAAAGAATGATTATTCCCGTCTATATCATGGCTAAATATAAACTTGATGCGGATAATAGAGCTGAAAGTAAGGTAACGGCCATCTCCATAACACACATCACACCACCTGATACCGACGGATGTATTGGGCCATTGGCGAATGACACGCCAAAGGAAAGACTGTTCCTAACAATTGGCTTAAACCAATGGTACGAAAGAAAAAAAAACAATGAGTTAGCACTTCTGTGCAGTCATTACAGTCAAGGCATTGAAAATGAAAACCTTAACTCCCCCAAATATTTTTTTTGCTGTTTCTCTGTAAAAAAGAAAAAAATAGTTTTTTTCTGTCTTTGAGTGGGTTCTGGGACTCATTCTGGGGAATAGGGACGGGGGTTGGGGTTAATCTGATTGAAGCGGATAGGTAAAGAGTAGTGCGATGGGAAAAAAAAAGGGAATGTAATCGCGGTGCATGTTTGAAAAGAAAAAGGTAGTACACCGACCCAGCAAGAAGCACCCACCCAGGCAGCAAGTCGCACCAGAAACCAGCCCTCGAAGAAAATTGCAGGATAAGGACGTCTCTTAAAACTGTCGCCAAGAAAGAGAATTTATACCCCATCCCGGACCACCAAGCAGTCTGGAAAAACCAAAGGATAACATTAAAAAAAAAATTTTTTTTTCCTTCCATTTTCTAGAGGCTTTTTTGCAAAAAGCGGTGAAAGCAACTAGCCGGTCCCTTATCCGGCTACTGGTTTTACGCTGCCGGCGTCCTCATAAACGTTTTCTTTTGGAATTTTCAATCCGTTTAACCATTGTGGTGGGTTTCATCCTTCTCGCTCTGACTGGGTTTTGGCTCTCGGGTTTCCTCAGGTTACCGCCGGCAACCAAGAATCTTTCCAAGGGAAACAGCCCCTAGAAAACCAAGTCAAATTTCTTGACCCATGAACTATATACGAATGCCACACTTTACTGCCACCTGAATTTTAGTAGGGTAGGCCGGTGTTCCGGGATACAGCGTGAAAAATAAAATAGAGGGACCGCATCGATCCCATTCCCAACCTTTAGAAAGAATAAAAAGGTTTTTGTGCCATGACTTTGGCAATCTTTTTACACACTTTTTTAACCTCTTAAAGTTGATCGTTTGCCACAACTCGGGCATGTGGCTCGATTTAAGGCAGCGGTGGGATCATCCCTGGCGCCCTACAACGGCAAATGTGCCAGGTATTTTTTTCTCCCTTAAAACAGAAAAAAAGCAAATTCACTTAGGAGCATGCAAACTAAGCGAAGGTTTGGAAATGCTGGGGTAGGGAGAAAAAAATGGCATTGAACTTTTGTACTGGTGGGCTTTGGGTGAAATAATGGCATTATCTTTTTTCTTTTTTCAAAAATTTTACATCCCAAGCCAGGAAGCTAGTAAAAACATATCGTCACTCTTTGATTGACGTCCGCCCCTATTTTCAAAGGCTGCGGCGGCGTTGGCGATGCTAATAAACCAAAAAACACAGAAGAAATGAAGGAAAAAAAAGCAATTCCGCATTCCACCCCTCTCGAATGCCGGCAAAACCTCCTGTCTTTTTTTTTTGTTTTTGTGGGGGCTTTGCCCGAAATAGATGGTGATCGGTGTGAAACCGCGTCTGGCCCGTCTGCCCTTGGCGAAATCTTTTCTTACCCTAGCGCTTGAATGGCGGGGTGCCGGGCCAACCACGATGCCTTTGTATTTTTTCCAACCTTTCCAGCCGCCCCCACTTTACACCAAGGAGGAAACGTGTAAAGAGGCATCAGCCGACCCACGCGAGCGCCTGGTTTTCTTCAAATCAAGTGGTGTTTTCTTTTTTCTTAGCTTCATTCAATGATCGTGCATTTCATTTACCCACCGTTTTTTTTTTTTCTTGAATTAGCGATGTGACGCGGGGTTTCGCCACCACAAAGTAGCACGAGCCAAAGGTCCAATCGAAACACGGCAAGTGCAGATTGTTCTGGGGTTAACGGCGGTTGGTCAATCCCATTTTGTGGGCATCCATATCTCTTTTGGCATCTTTCAATGCTGCGTTTTACGCCGCTGCGGGCGGCCTGCTCTCTAACGGGGGTAATTTTCTTTGTTTTTATCATCGAGTGCTTAAAACAGATCTGCCGATACACGGCCGCCATTTTATTTTATTTTTATTATTTTTTTTTAGCGAGGAAAACCAAAATGGAGTTCCCCATTGGCTTTTTTTTCTTTTCTTCGTGGCTTTATGGATGTTACTCCAATGGCGCAATCCATCAACAGCAATACATATATATATATATAAAGATATATGTATATAATTTTTATTTATTAATTTATTTTTCTTTTTTTATTGTATTTTATTACCATTGCGCAGTGGAAGTACGCATTGGTAATGAAATTACAATGGATCTCTTAGGTGGCAGAACATGGATTTTTTTCGCCTCTCTGAGTTTCCTCAGCGGCTGATCTAATTTCCCCCACTAGAGGACATAATTGTTACTATCTCTAGGGTCCGTGCCACTCCCTTTTTTAGCAGCATTCACACTAAAGTGAATCATGTAAAAGAAAACTGCTGCTGATGGTACGCTGATACGCGTCACAGGATCCTCTTGGATAAAGTTTTGTCCCAGTACGACTCTGCTTGCCCCGTTGCTGTATGACGTTTTTAGCTTATGAACCCGTAAACTCTCAAGAAAGAGAATTTGCTGGCCCATGGCATCCCTCAAAATAATAGGGGATAATGGACATCGGCTCCAACTCTCGATGGCCAAACGCCACCAAGGGGATAGCATTCCCAAAGATCGCATGTATTGAAAAGAAAAAATAAAAAGAATTTGGTTTTTAAGGAGACCACCTCCTTCAAAATATATTGTGAATGTTTTTAGTTTCCTTGAATAAATTCAACTACTTAACCTTGGCACCACGATAAGGTAGAACATCCTTACCAAGGTCATTGGCTGTTCAAAGACCGGTCGCTGAGACACGGAGCACAAATTAGTTTATTTTTATATTGACTTCAATTTCAGATCTTGTGAAGCCAATTGGCCGACTACAAGCCCATAAAGAAAAAAAAAGAGAAACCAAGAAGGTTCTTGGAAGGGACGAGCGTTTAAAGCACATCACCCATATGCCAAAACCGTTTTGACAAGAGGAGGGGGCGAACTAAAATCAGAGAATACCGCCAAGGTACTTACAAACGAAATTTCTGGGCAAGCAGTTGTTGCAGGTGTAATTTTAATTTCTCTTTAGAGGGCTCCCCACGTGATGGTGTTTACCGTTTGATTCCTGTGGACTTTCGGCGGGCCATCCGAACCCCAACGACGACAAAACTTTTCAGGTTTTCTTCCCTCAGAAGTTTGAAAACACCCTTTGCCTAATATTGTTCTCCATTCTGGGAAGGAAATTTGAGTGTGTTTGTCTTTTCAGTTGTGGGTGGGTAAAGAGAATGTTTTGCATGAATGCGTTTGGGAATCGCCACGGCTTTCCCTATTCTTTTGTGGGTTGAAAGAAAAAAGAACCCAAAGCCTGCATTTATCACGTTTTTACGCTTGAGGGGTCTATAAATGGCGATGGACTTTTTGATATTCGTTGGACTCTCTTGCCGCGGCTGGAAGGATATTGAGAAATGCCTAAAACCCTTTCCTTGTCGGGGCGGTGGGGAACCCGCAATGGAAGCGACACGGGGCATTGAACTCGCCCAATCTGGTTTTATAAGTCTTTTCCACAGTCTCCAGAATGGCAGAAACGAATTCTTAAGCGCAAGGTTCGGCGGGCGAATGGTCATGGTTAAAAAGGAATTTTTATGTGGGTCTCTGCTCTGTCACTTTGGTTGGGGTTGCTGTCGTGAGGGTCGCTGGAAATTATGTTATTCTGGATCCAATGGCATATCACAGGATTCAAAACTATACTTGTAAGATCCAACGGTGCAATTTATACTAGCTTTTTTCTTTAATTTCAACAGTGCCATCGATAATGACTATAAAGCGAGCCTTTAATTCATTAAAAACCTCGCCGTTGATACTGGTCTTGTCAAAGGGGCGGTGTGCTAATTAGGAATTTTTCTTGTGGTATTTTTTCTTACACGCCAGACTACTGATTATGGAATTTCTACTTTGATAGATGCGTTTTCATACATATATGATGAAAGGGTGAGACACTAAGGGTTTTGCGAGATCAAAGAGCATATCAGCGGTAGCGTATGGGAGTTTTGGTTTACACATGCTCTTTTTTGCGCGTAGGTGAGCTTTTGTGTATTTTTTTTTCTTTAGACATCTCGTTAGGGAATGATGTTTGTGGGTAGATTCCTTCTTACGAAATGGCAGATTTCATCTCGATCAAAGAGAAAATATTCAGAAGCATGCGCGCTGTGTTCACAAAAATCTTCTTCGCTTTAGTCATGTTGCATGTTATCTAAACGGAGCCCCGCGAGCCAACCTTTATTAGAAAACTTTGCGGCCCCATTTCTGATTAAAGCTAATTAGTTTAAGTAGGTGTTTTTTTGGACTCAATATGTTTTAGATTCGGTTGTCGGCCAGGGTGGGTAGGAAGCGATTTGGCTCGGGGCATAAGGGACGCATTGCTTTATTGGCGGTCGTGCGCCAAGGGGTTGCCCCACACCCCCTCCATTTTTTTTTTTGTCAAGCCTTAACTCCGTCTATTCTTTGCGGTGAGTGTGTGCAAGTTAAGGAATGAGAGAACGATGCGGCTTTCCTTTTTGATTCTTTTTGGTGGTTGTTGTTGGGTTTGGTGCGCTTTGGCGGTTTGTGGAGGGTTTCCGTGGCGGGGAAAAAAAAAAAACAACCACCGCGGCCCGCGCGGAACGCCCCATGGGAGTTTCCATCCTTTATTTCTTTTGTTCCCGGCCTGTTCCCCTTTTGCACCCGTTCCCTCTGGAATTTACTCCTGCCATCTTTTCTTCCTACCCCTTTCTTTCTGGCTGCCGGCAGGGTGTGGGTTCGGGGAAAAGTGAAGCGAACAGCTTTTTCCCAAGCAATTGCCAGAGGCAAGAAACGGGCCCCTGGAAACTTTTCAAAAGCACGGGCGCTTTACAAGAGGGAAAATTCAAGATAAAACGCCAACAAGGTACTAAAAGCTTTTTGAAGATTCACCCCCAAAAAAGAAGCCGCCTGTGGCGTGTTAGCGTCGGCCGGGCGATCGTTGGAGAAGGGCGGGCAATTTCTCCCAGAAATGTATTTCAGGAGTGTTTTTCCCATAAAGCGGGGTGAGGAATTGGGATAATGCGCGGGTGCCTTTTGATCTGCTGATTCTTTGAATGTGCTGGACCAAAGGCCCCCACATTAAAACCCAATAAAGCTCGCAACGATCCTTTCTGGGTGGTGTGCTTTAATTGGAATGGAATTCCCCGCAGCTTCATCAAGCGTTTTATCCAACAAAATGGGTTCCTCGTTACCCTTCTCTTGTGGGACATGTTGCCGTAGATAAAGAAAAATAGTAACTAAAAAATGGGACCATTTGGTATTAATTAACGAAAATTGCGCTACAATAGCAAGAATATTGAAAATAATTCCGTAAAAATTACAGTTTTTCTTGAAGTCGTCAACAGTGTGAAAGGGAAAGAGAATGGCGCCAGGTAATACGGAAAGTCTCAAAGCCAAACATTTTGCAGCAGACAATTCCTCACCCAGCGTCGTTGTAGGACCCTTTGCGTTTCTTTGATGCAGTGTGGTGCCAACTCTTTTTTTTTTTTGAAAGCTGAAGAACTGCACGTTTTCTGCACCTGCACTTGTTCTTTGGTGACGCTTCTTTTATATTTCGCCATGGAAAGTTTGATGTATGGATTACACATGCTAAATAAGGAAAAGAGAAACACGATTGGCGCAAGGAATGCCAAAAACGAAAAGAGAGAATAAACCGGTTAAAGTTCGCTGGATGGAGAAAGCGTTGGAGTCATGATAACCACGGCTCCGCAACCATAAAATCCCCAGTTGTGGGTCGATTTCTTTGATGATATAATTACGTTTGGTCATACCAAAAGGGTTGTTGCGGCAAAGAAAAAGCACGAGACAGAAGGATCACCGCGGCGCCCCCGCCACCCGCACGCGCCCCCGGCACGGGGAAACCCGAAAAAACCACTGGAAACCCCCGAGGGCACACCAAAGCCTTAAAGATCTTCAGAAATTTGGCGATTCCCACGGGTTTGCCTCTGGGGCTTCGGGCGTTGTTGTTGGGTTGCGTTGTTTTCGTTTGGGGTGTGGCCTGCGGCAAATTGTTCCCCAACGGCTCTACGCAGAGGAAATTTTTTTTTGCGTACAAACGTGGCTGGTGACGATGGTAGCCCCACCAAAGAATAGGAAAACGGAACGGGGTTTCCATTTTATGTGGGCCTTGTTGTTTTTTTGTTCGGCTCTTCTTCGGCCCCGCCCCGCCAAAACGCCCCAAGGCACGAGGTTCCTAAGAGGCCAACGGTTAAAAGCGGTACACTTTTCAATGCTGCCACAGGGTGGGCGGCTCTACCGGCATCTTGGGGGTTCTCGCCGCACCAGCGGTGCTGGAACAAGTGTTGTATTAAAAGATGGTGGGGCCATCTTGGGTTTCTTCTTTAGCCTACTTCGTTTCACGGGCTATTGTTTTTGGTTTCCGCGCATTTTCGCCAGAGGCCAAACCGAACTTCTTCTGGAAAACTTCTTTATGTAAGAAAACTAAAACTTTGCTGAGGATAGGGCCTTAAAGAGTCAATATTTTTTTTACAGAGGCATTCTTTTCAAATGCTTCCCGAGTGGCGATGGAAAGTGGTAGCGCCCCGAAATTTCTAGGGGGAATCCCGGAGCCAGCAACCCATTCATAAGAAAAACGTTTTAGCCTTTCCAAAGAAGGAAGCTGGGGCATCCGTATCAAAAAAACTCTGGGAAACGGAGAAAAAAAAGGTTTATTCAATCCTCCTTGGGTCTGCGCTGGCTTGCTGTTTCTGGCGAGGCTCTCTCCGGTTTGAGGAGGCTTGCTCGTATTTAAGAAACGTCCAACGTTTCGCCGAGAGATGCGTGACGGCGCCCAACCGTCTTTTTTTTTTTTAATCTGGGGAGAGGAACATGTTACGCTGCAATGCGCCCCACCGCCAAAAGGCCAGAGAAGAAAAAAAAATGTTTAAAAATTAACTCTGGCGGTCCCAATAAATAAGAATGGGAATAAGCGTTGGGGAAGTTGTTCTGAAGGGGCGCGTTCGCTGATAGTTTTCTGCGGTCGCGCTGTCGGAAACACCCTATAAAGGAGAGAAAGAAGGAAAAAATGGGATATAATAGGAGAAAATGGAAAAAAATTAATGACATAAATAAGCTTTGCAAATACCATTTAAAACATGGGAAGGGAGGATGTGGTTCTGTTCATTATAACCGGCATCCAAATGCCAATGTCGCTGATGGGCCCCTTCCCACACACACTCGCAAGCCAAACTCTATCCCCAATTCAGAAAAAGTGAAAACTTTTACTCATGTGATAACCCATTCACAGAGTTGTCATGTAACCACTCCGGACGCGTTAGCAATACTAAGGGGAATACCCGCGGCAACCCGCTATGGCCAGAAAGAAGGAATTAAAAGTTATTTTTTAAGCGGTGCCTTGCGATAGGACGTTCTTTATTTCGATGGGCAATACGTTGGGGAACGCAGCCGTTGAATGCCAATAAGATAATGTGAACATCCCGATTTTCCACTTGCACGATTGTAGGCGCTCTGGAATTTTCAACAACTTCCGGTTTTCTTTTACTCCCCCACGAATCTGGAAAAAGCAAAGCGTACCATCTGTGAAGAGGCACGCCTGCAATAAACCTCTCCGCCAAGCCCCCGAGGGTTTCGGCGGAGCCTAACTCGTTTTTAAGCATTCTAGAGAATAAAGCAATTTTGGCACCGGCTCTCAAAGGGAAAAGATTCGCTTGTAAATGGGTGGGTTTTTTTTCCCCTGTTCAAAGTGGGGAAGGCCCGCTGCACCCTCTTATAGAAAAAAGAAATGTGTCGTCAGTTGCACTTCTAAAACAAAAGCGACAGAGAAAAAAAAAAACAGATGTTTTCACTTTTATTTTAATCACTCTCTAAAACAAACGATAAAGGTACAGAACAAAAGAGAATAACATACTTTTTACTTAACCCCACGAAATTTAAGAGATGAAGAACAGAAACCGCTTAGTAAGAAGGAAAAAAAAAATTATACTTGGCAAACCTTTGAAATCCAGTAGCCCATTATCGTTTTGCAACTCTTCTTGCATTGGAGTATCATTTTCTCTTATCTCAACATTTCTTTGTGTTTTCTTGGGAATTGCACGTTTCAAATCCAGACTTCTAGAGAGAAATAGGGCTGCGAGACTCTCCACTGTAACACCGCTGCCTCCGAAACGTGGCAGTAGCTGATGTCACAAAATGTATAGTTTCAGTGTAAACCTTACAAACTTTTGCTAAATCCGTAACACCGAACACGGTGCTATCTGCATTGCTGGGTCGGGAAGGAAAAAAGTTGCCGCACTCATATAGGCAAACTCCGCTAGGCCAAATAAATAGAACAATCCCAAAAATGAGTCAACACTTTCTAGGATTATCAAATAGATAAAGAAAATGATAAAATGATACCTTCAAAGGTGGATCGGCTTCATTTGGAATCATCCTCATTTTTACTTTTGGGACCGAGCAACCCGTTATAAACGTTTAAAGGAAAAGTTTTTACTCTATGATCGAGCATGGGACGACTGCAAAGAAGGCTTCAAGAAAAGCAGCCGACACAATCAAAACCTCTACTCCAAGGAGATCTTTCTCGGCCTCTGGAATGGTGTAAAATTCTCACACGCTAACTTTCCAATGGTTTCAACCCAAATAATGGTCTAAATTTTGCTGAACTGGCGGGCAGCATCGGGAAAACAAGACGATTTTAAAGCCATTGGATGCTCCAGAAGGGAACTTGGTCTTGCCCAAGAGCCGGTGTAGTAATCATTCATGGGTTCCAGAACTTGTGGTGGAAGTTAACGCCTGGAACAAACGAATTTCCTCAAGGAGGTTTTCAAGACGCATACTTATGGCAAAAATGGCATGGCCAACGTGGGCAAAAGCAAAACGGACTCCTCTGCCTGCCGGGTTGCGTGCCAAATTTGCACCTCTCTTGATAGAGTCCTCTGGCCCCTTGTAATCTGGCAAAAATGCGTTTTTTCTCATTGTTCTCGAGGGTCTACAGGAGCCTCGTCTACCGCAGCAAAGGCGCCAAATGCTTGACATGGTAAGAATCTTTGTCAGAAATTTGCAGAAAAGAAAGTACGCGAAATTAACCACGTGTTAAGTACGGAAAATTTGGACCAGCGACCCAAACTGATCCAAAAGGTAGAAAAAATATTTCTTTTTCTTCCAATTCTTTGGAAAACAGATTTATCCTATCCATTGCTTCCCTGGAAGGGAATTGTGGCTGTTTCACGCCCTTACCGCGTTGCAAGTTTCTT